CATGTAATGATGGGCTGATGCAGAGCACTGTTAACTCCCACACGATCACTAGACATTACCTCTATATGACAGAAAACATTAACCACCTACACTACCTTAGCACTTGCACTAACCCAATCTTAAAAATATTATATATCGTGTGTTATAAAAGATACATAACGGGGAAGTTTGCTTAAATAATGCCAACTGAAGACATTCTTTGGTTTTGTGATTTATCATGATGTCTCCAGAACCATAATTAATTAAAGCTATTTAAAATTCTAACTGTTGACTAACTTGTTTTTTTTTCTAGGTTATGATAGTTCCTGGATATGAAGGTCAGAAGGTTCAGGATGCTAAAAAACCTATTCAACAGAAAATGGTTAACAGTGTAAGTACCTTTAAGTGTCTGTAGTCACGTTGAGCCTCCTTTTCAGTTATAGCTAATCGAGTAGTTGGTCTCCAATAGTTTTGTTTTTTTTAATTATTATTTATATGAGAGAATCGTAAGATTTGCAGTTCCTCTTTAAATTGCACTTTCATGGGTTTGGACTATGGAAAATCTTCAAATTGTATAATTCTGATAAAGTTAGTATCCTACTTGTCTCTATTATTTACGTATTTATTTTAACAGGGGGAAGCTTTGATTTACATGGAACCAGAGAAGCTAATTATATCTCGTTCTGCAGATGAATGTGTGGTTGCACTTTGTGATCAGTGGTGAGTACTACAGAATTGTCAGCTGTATGGTGCAAATTTGGTGTAAATTAACCTAGAATTTAAGAGAGTTAACTGACAGTACTTGGCAAATTAAGGGACAAGTTGCACAAAATTGATATAGCTAAGGGGGAATGATAACATCGACAGCATGTTATCAATCCCCCTTAGATATATCTTTTTCTTTAGAGATACTAAGAAGACTGGCTGGACCAGACAACCTAAGTGTTCTCCTGGCACCGTTACTAGTACAACAGACTGTAGTCATTATAGTGCTTAAAGGGACACTATAGTCACCAGAACAACTACAGCTTATTGAATTTGTTCTGTCGAGTAGAATCATTACCTTCAGCCTTTTTGCAGTGTTTACATTACAGCCTAGTGATAACTTCACTGGCCACTCCTCAGATGGCTGTGATGTGCTTAAAGGGACACTATAGTCACCAGAACAACTACAGCTTATTGAATTTGTTCTGTCGAGTAGAATCATTACCTTCAGCCTTTTTGCAGTGTTTACATTACAGCCTAGTGATAACTTCACTGGCCACTCCTCAGATTGCTGCCTAAAATGCATCCAAACATTGTGTCTCCTCCCTCTGCATGCAGACACTGAACTTTCCTCTTAGATATTTATTGATAAAATTCATCTCTATGAGGAGATGCTGATTGGCCGGGGCTGTGTTTGAATCATGCTGACTCTGCCCCTGATCTGCCTCCTTGTCAGTCTCAGCCAATCTTATTGTGATTAGATCAGGCTACCACTTCTGTTGATGTCGGCAGACTTCCTGTTTTTTCTGATTCTAACAACACGCAGAGTTACAGCTTCAGCTTTGAATACAGTAAGATTTTTACTATATTTATGGAGGCATGAGGGGCCCAGGGGGGCTAGATGGTGATGTTAACACTATAGGGTCAGGAAACATGTTTGTGTTTCTGACCATATAGTGATCCTTTAAAGTACCCTTTTAATAATGACATCTTAAAACTGATGTCTCTGACTGCAGTTTAGCAAGAGCGCCTCAACCACGGACACTTTTGAGAATGATTTGCACAAACACACGGTGATGCTATTAGTAATATATATTGTGTGATCAACTGATTTCAGGCACTTTGGAGAAAAAGAAAAAATGGGGGGTTCTATTGATTACTATGTTAGTTTAGCAGCACTAAAAGTAGCAAAAAAATGTCTCATAACAATGAAGTAAACACAACGCGTTTGTTGTTAAGGTACGTGATGAAACGTACACGTTTAAGATGGATAAGGGGCTTATAATTAATGTATTTAACAGAACCTGTGGATTTAGTTCTATACCATACATAACACCTCAATTTTATATTAACTGCAAACAGGTATTTGGACTATGGGGAATCAGAGTGGAAGAAACAAGCTACTGAATGTTTGAAAAACTTGGAAACGTAAGTTAATGGCTTATTAACATATTACTCTATCTTGTGCTTTGCTTGACCTTAAATAATTCCGATTTAAACTCACAATTATACCACATGTAGAAAAGAGATTTTCGTCCAGTGCTGATAAAACTCAATATCAAGCCAAAACCCTACTAATAAACTGTGTTTTTCTCCTAACACTGGATGGGTTCCCCTGTCCTCCAGATGGTTCCTATTTTTCCCTTCAGACATACCACTAGGGGGCTTTATAATCAAACACTTTTATTATCATTGCAAGTATTGGCTAGTTTTGGCTTTTGTGAAATTAAATTTTACTTTTTGTTTGTGTGTGTGTATGTGTGCGTATGTGTGTGTGTGTATGTATATATGTATGTGTGTGTATATGTATATATATATATATATATATATATATATATTATATACACACACACATTGTGTTTTACTATATATACACACAT